CTAAAATGATCTTGCACCTCTGCAGAATCACCCCTGAAGCTCTATTACTCCATCCACAAGTAGGGTCCAGAGATAAGTACAAACCTCTTCTCCTCCCCGCTAAGTCAGCCATCGCTCAGTGATCTCCCCCCGTCCTCCCAGGTTAAACGCCACACACAGGCTGTCTCCGAAGATGAAAACACTCTGCAGCTCACCGTATAGAGAAACGGCTCACCCCTGCTAAGCAACTGTTTTCTGCTGCTGCATCAGAGCGCTCTGGGAGAGCTGATTGCCGAATGGCTCAACAGGGCTCTGAGAGTGTTTGTGTCTCTTTGTGTACGCGCATGTGTCTGTCAGTGGTTGGTGTCCCACTGCGTAAAGGAGAAAATCCTCTCATCCTTAACCAGAGCGATGTGCCAGCTCATCATTCTCTTTCATCAAGACCTCTTCGTCCAAGGCCCCCCTCCTGTTGAATCTTTGACCCACAGATAAACATTGCAGCTTTTTTCTTTCCTGTTTGCTTGGAGTGCTTTTGAAATCACTCTTTTAAGGCTGTCAAATCCACACAGAAGGCACAGAGCACACAATTTCAGGGCTTTTTTTATATTTGGGTTTATTGTTTTCTTATCACCCCTATAATGTCTGAATTGATTCAGAATGTAACCAGCAATATTTATCAAATGTCTACTTATTAATGTCTTGCTTCCATTATTTGCTGCAGTGGAAGTCTTTCTAATGCATTTTTTAATATACACAATGAATAGCTAATAAATGATACATATTTGTTATGTTTTTATCCAACATATTCTACTACCAGACTCTGTGTTTCAGTTTAGTTTATTTCACTTCAGTTTATTTATTTGGTAACTTACTATAGGCAAGGCAAGGCAAGGCAAATTTATTTGTATAGCACAATTCAGCACAAAGACAATTCAAAGTGCTTTACATGATTAAAATACAGGAAGATAAAACAGAATTAAAGCAAGTAGGAAAAAAAAAAATTAAAAATGCTGAAACAAAAAAGAATATAAAAAACAATTAAAGTAAAGAAAATATGTTTTAGTTGAACTATTTAACCAGAACAGTCTGGAGGGTTGATACACTGATAGCAAGTCTGTGATGTATTTAGGTGCTAAGCCATTCAGGGATTTATAGACTAACAGAAGTATTTTAAGGTCTATTCTCTGAGATACAGGGAGCCAGTGGAAGGACTTTAGAACTGGGGTGATGTGCTCTACTTTCTTGGTCTTAGTGAGGACACGGACAGCAGCGTTCTGGATCAGCTGCAGCTGTCTGATCCACTTTTTAGGCAGACCTGTGAAAACACCGTTGCAGTAATCAATTCGACTAGAAATAAACTCATGGATCAGTTTTTCCAGATTATGCTGAGACATTAGTCCTTTAATCCTGGAAATGTTCTTCAGGTGATAGATAGCCCACCTTGTAATTGTCTTTAAATGCTTTTGAAGGTTCAAGTCTGAATCCAGCACTACACCTAGATTTCAGGCCTGATCAGTGGTTACTAGCTGAAGCGACTGAAGCTGTGTGCTAACTTTAGATCTCTCCTCTATTGGTCCAAAGATTATTACTTCAGTTTTCTTTTTATTCAGTTGAAGAAAATTATGGCACATCCAGGCATTGATTTCTTCTAAGCATTTCCTCAGTGCTTGAATTGGTTCATAGTCACCTGGTGACATGGTGATGTAAAGCTGTGTGTCGTCTGCATAGTTATGGTAGCTGATGTTGTTTTTTTTATTAACTGAGCAGAGGGAGCATGTAGATATTGAATAGGAGGGGACCCAGAATGGACCCTTGGGGAACCCCACATGTGATTTTTGTCATCTCTGATGTAAAGTTGCCTACTGACACAAAAAAGTAACACATCTCATCTAAAGGCATTTTAGAGAGATAATTCAATCTGATCATAGAATCAAATTGGTTAGATTTTTTCTATTTAAGGAAACATAGCTTTTGGCATCCAGTCATTAACTTTTGCAGGATTTTCTCCTGGAGGAACATGTGATAACAGAATTACGTTTCCTTGCATCCTGTCATTGACTCTACAGCAATCCCTCACACCAAGCATGCATACAACCCAGGGAGAGGGGGAAAAAACTCTCTTTTAACTGGAATTTCAAGAAATTTAAAAAACCAAAACAATCCACTGGACTTGGTTGGATTATTTTTTTTTTATCTCTTTTAACAGGAAGTAACCTCCAGCACAACCAGGCTCAGTGTGGGCCAGAAGCAGTCATAGAAAAAGTGCTATAGAATTGCTGATCCATAATAGAATTTCTGTGTTAGAAAATCTCTAACTCTTTAGGTGGCTCTCTAGGAAAGATAATGTTAAGCAGATGAGCTATAAGTTTGTTTTCATGTAAAAAGGGATGAAAGAGAACAGTTTTTCATCGTAAAAACTGAGACCATCGATATATCTAGGAGAGAAACAGGTATGAACACTGAAAAAACTTCCCCAACTGTCATCTAGAATTAAAGTTGTTGACAGCAGCAGAGACACTCTGATGTATCCCTTCAGGATTGTGTCACAGCCAAACAGAACAAGGCCAGATGAAGGTACTATGATGGCAAGAAGCAGAGAACATGAAGTTAGAAGCTGAATGTCGAGCTGTCAGTTGTGACCTTAATTTTAAACTATGCTTCAGTTATGCAACAGGTCTATCACTGGAATTCTGAAAGAAAGTAAAATCAAGGTTTTGGGGTGGCCTAGTCAAAGTAGAAAATTAGTGTGATACTTTGTGTTCATGCTCAATGATGCAGTCAAATTAAGACATTTGTGCTATAAAGAGTTGGCCAAATGCGCTTCCCAGTGACTCATACAGGTTTCTATACAAGCTTGACGGCTTTTTTTGCTTTTTTTCACCCAGGGAAAGTGGGTTTGGCTTTTTTTCCCTTCATAAACTATATAATTATATAAAAAAAGCAAATTTTTAATATCTTAGGTCATCTTAGTCTGGCATTAAAACATCAGTGATGAGCTGTGACGTGAGAAAAAATGCAAAATAAAACAGCAGAAATCATTTTTCAAGGCAGGAGGTTCAACATTTTATCCAAATAAATGACCAACTCATATTTTGTGGGTTTAAAAACCTGTTTAAACATTTATTTTCCTTTCTCGACTGTACCCGAGTCTGACTGCAGAACCATTACAGCAGCTAGCTATCAATCTCACCTGCACACAGCACTCCAGAACTACTTTTTAAGCTGCCAGATTTGAAGATTAGTTAGTACCTTATAGCTAGCCAGGGGCCGTTTTTGAGGCACTGGGGCAATCACAGTTTGACCAGCTGGTCCTGATTTGTCACCGCGATCAGTCTGCAGAACATAAAGCAGTATTATGGTGAATGGAAAGCTGATATAGGCTAGCCTTAGGGCAGTTGTAGAAAACAATGAGGTCAGTCTTTTACCTTGCTTTTGTAGATTTGTTAACCCAAAGGAGTTCCATGGAGGGGTAGCAGGTGGATAGGAGTATCAGAGGGTAACAGAAGAATAAAAGATTGCAAATTCTCATTAATCAATATTAGCTGCAAACAAACTGATGTGTATTTGCATAAAACGTGCTTATTGTTGAGCAGAAAAAATGAAGACTATGGAAAAGTAGAGGTATATATTCAAAATTCATAAGTTTTATTTCAATTTAAGATTTGTTTTCCCACGTGTGCAGGTGGAACAGTGGGTAGTGACCCATGTACAGAGGCCTTAGTCTTCGACGCGGCCGACCCGGGTTTGAATCCGGCCTGTGCCGCATGTCTCTCTCCCTCTCTCATACCCCCTTTCCTGTCAGCCTACTTACCATAAAAAAAATTAAAAAAAAACAAGCCACTAGTGCCATAAAAAAAAAAAAATAAAATAAAGTGTTTTCCCTGGGTGGAATAATTATTCAACTGCCACATTATACAACTGGAACATGAATTTCTTTCACCGTGACGAAGCCAAGGCCTGGGTAGTCTGACCAGTGAAGGTTTGCTTCAGCTGGTAGTTTTTATTGCCTGTAGTAATCAATTCTTTTTACATAACTTATAATTTGTCAAACAACTCAACGCTTGATACAGATCTAAAAATGATTGTTGTAGATTTACTCAACATGGCAAAGCACTTTCTAATCATTATATCTGTTCAAATGACTAACCTTGGCTACAAGCTGCTACTTCTCTACCGAGGTCTGAAAGAAGATCTAAACTGTCAATAAGTTAGGGTGGTCAGGAAGAACTCTCGAATAATAAAAAAACTTAAATAACTCGTCCTACATTGACGCAAAAGCTGCATGAGAGATTGCGGACATTACGTTGAGTGACACACATTTGCCCTGCAATGAAAATTTTAACCTACAAAAGACTGCTACTGTTGGTACAGTAGCAGCCATTTAAAATAGCCCTTCCCCGTCAAACAGCAGCTGAATGGTGGCCCACTTCTCTGCAACTGGAGTGACCCCCTCTTTTATATATATTTTTTCTGACTCCACCCTTTCACTAAATTAAAGGGTCTTGAGAAGCTATCAAACGCTCAAAACTCCACTTGTTTCATAATTGTGTTGTAGTTATGATTTGTGGGTTGGAATCAGTTTATTGTTCGTTTTATGTTTTCTACCTCTCGTCCTTGTTGTTGGTAGGCCTTGTTTATAAATTCCCCTGTGTTTATTGTGAGAGGTAGGTTCTAGTTTGTTTCTTTGCTAGATTTGTCCTCTTTTGGTCTATTTTTTCTGAATTTTGAGTCCTTGAGTCCAAAGGAACTTTGGGAAAATAAATGAATTATACTTTTTGTACACTTTCCTGACCGGTTGGTCGCTCACACTGCCAGGGGTGAGACTTCAGATTTCAATACCAACCATAATGTATGGTGGTATCAGCATCAGGAAATCAATCAACCCATTGAAACTAACTATGGCACTTTACACTATATAAACCTCCATGAAGTATTTAATCAGTGAATGTAAACGTCTCAGCTTAACTGTAAACCAAATGACTAACTTCAGATTCTTTATTTCTTTCTGTCTTTCAAGGTCCACTGATTATGGAACAACCTACACCAAACTCAACCTGATACCGGGGACAACCGTTGTGGTGACAAGTTTCTACATCTGTCCTACCAACAAGAAAAAGGTAAGATAAGTTTTTTGTAAGAGGTTTGAGAGATTTAAACAACAATGGTTCAAATCTCTTTGGTATCATCTATTCAGCAAACCCTCATCAATAATTCTCCATCTACATATGCCGGGTTGACCATTTCCCTGTTGGCTTCATTTATTCCTTTTATACAGCAGAAACCTGTGGAAGTTTTGTGTTCTGTTTATTTTTTGAGGTTGTATTTTATGTTCTGGGATTTTTCCATATAAGGTTTTGATTTAGAAACTTCTTTACTTGGTCTTGCCTTATCCTTGTAATAGTTTTTCTATTTTGGTCTTGCCATTTTTACATTATTAGTTGTTTTTTTCTTGCTCTTCAGTTTACTCTTTAGCCCCTTTCTTAAAATCTATCTTAGTTCAGCTTCTTGTAGTGTCAGCTCTCATTTGTTAGATCTTTCCATCCATCTTGCTCTAGTTCAGTTATGATTTGTTGTTTTCTTTCAGTTTAATAAGTCGTATCACATTCAGCTGCCATCATCCTTGGCATCTTATCATGTAAATCAGGTTACCAAGTGATCAGCTTTGTTTGCTCATGTCCATTACCACAGATTTCTTGTCCGTTTTCTTTCTCTCTTCAGAGTGGTTAATGGTGGTACAATGTATTGTTTCTCTGAATGACTAATGATATGCCTTGTTCCACACAATACCTGCTTTGTAACCTGTACATTGCAAAAAAAATTATCTTAATAAGTAATTTTTTCTTAAAAAAGGTGCATTTTGTCTTAATTGAGGAGGTGAGACATTTTGCCAATTGAACAAGACAATTTACTTATTTCAAGTGCATATTATCTAATTATCTTATTTTAAGAGTAAAAACACTCATTCAATTTGCAGATCACCTTGTTTACCTGCTGAAATTAAGGGTAAATACACTTAATTTAAGAAAATTTTACTTATTTCTAGATCGTTTTTGCAGTGTATCTGGATGTTAGCTTACTTTTGCATGAAAACTTCTCCACACACCAGTCTATCTCACCCTGCTTGTATAAGGGTCCTTCCAAGCTCCAAATTTCCTAACAATATGTTTCTTTAGCCTTTCAAAGCAAATATATGATGAAAATAATGCCTTTAGCACTAATGAGTATTAAGTTGCTATGAAATATTATCTATTAACTTAGAAGAAAAACATTGTCCGTTAAGCAAAATCAATGTTGCATCTAAATATCTTGAGTCCAAAAGGATAATTTAGCAGCAGTGGAAGAGCGGCAGTGGTGGCCATAATAGGTGCAAGCTGAGTTGTGCTGGCACTTAGGAAGGAGGTAGGAATAGGAAGCAGTAGGCTTCCTAATGGTAATCCAGTTAGCATAGGGACCTTCTGACATCCCTAGGTGCTGTTAAGAGCTATACGGTTGCCCACAGTCCTTTAAATGCCAGGACATAGCCCACCTTAGGTAGTTTAAAAAAATATTTTTTTTTATGACATGTACTGTGTGAGACATGCAGATATCATTATCTTCATACACTGAAAAAACTATCTGGAAATAAGTGAACACTTCTTAAATAACATATTTTTCGCCTTAATTTGAGTGGGTAAATAACATGATTTGCCTATGGAATGAGTATTTTTACTCTTAAAATAAGACAATTAGATAAAATGCACGGGCTGCTCAGTGGCATTGTGGGTAGCATTGCTGCCTTGCAGCAAGAAGGTTCTGGGTTCAATTCCCTTCCCTTCAATTCCCTTCCCGGGGTCTTTCTGCATGGACTTTGCATGTTCTCCCTGAGCACGCGTGGGTTCTCTCCGGGTACTCTGGCTTCCTCCCACAGTCCAAAAACATGAGTGTTAGGTTAATTGGCTTCTCTAAAGTCCCCTTAGGTGTGAATGTGTGTGTGATTGGTTGTTTGTCTCTGTGTTGCCCTGCGATGGACTGGCAACCTGTCCGGGGTGGACCCTGCCTCTCGCCCGTTGACAGCTGGAGATAGACACCAGCACCCCTCCCCTTACTTGGGACACTGGAAAAAATAAAAATCTATATAAGTCATTTTTTCTTAAAATAAGTGCATTTGGTCTTTGATTGAGGAGGTAAAAGAGGAATTTTGCCAACGGAACAAGAAAATGTACATTTAAAATAATAAAACACAACTGCGTTTTCTTATTTCAAGGGCATATTATCTACTTATCTTATTTTAAGAGTACAAAAACTCATTCCATTGGCAAACTATCTCATTTACATACTCAAATTTAGGGTAAATACACTTAATTCAAGAAATTTTTCCTTATTTCTAGGTCCTTTTACCAGTGGATAAGCTTGTTTGAAAATGGATGGATGGATAAAATGCACTTGAAATAGGACAGTGCTATTGTTTTTTTTTTTCTTATTTTGAACACAAATTGTCTTGTTCCATTGGCAAAGTGTCTCAGGTACCTCCTCAATTCTAGAAAAAATACACTTATTTTAAAAAATTATTTTTTTACACATACACTGCTTTTCTGCAGTGTATGTTTTGAGTCTTTAGCCGTTTGCTACATTTGTGTTTTGTAGTTCTTTGTACATAAGGCTCAAATCTCAGTTTGACCAGGGTCATTATTTTGCTTGTACATGTAATGATGTTCAAAAGGCAGAATGCTGTCCAGATTCAGCACAGCAGTCAGAAGTCCCTCCCCTACCCTGGATAGTGTTCTAACTCTTGACCCCACGAAGGGTGAAGGAAGGTGGGATCTGCTGCTCAAATCTTCGATTTCATGAGAGTAACTCAAAGATGCATAAATCTGGCGAAATATCCCTGTGTGCCTGGTTTTGAAGAAGAAATAGCAATATAATGTAGCTAAATGATCAAAAATGTTATTTAGCACGATCTGCTGTAGTTCCTGATTATTAAAATTGAAGATACATATCACCTGTGGATTACAAATCCTGGCCATTTAGAGTGAATAATCACTGAATAAATGTAGTTTTAGGAATTTAAACTTTACATAATGATTAAATAAAAGAGGGCATTCCTTTTTCATTTATAAAAATGTTTTCATTTTTTTCTTTGATAATTTTAGTAACGCTTTTTTGAAAAACAGAGCTGAAATTTTTGCATAACTCAGAGGTTATTGTGCTGCCACTGCATGTCGGCACTCCCCTTGATGTTAACCTCTACATTTTCAAATCATTGCTCTCTCTTGCTGTCAAAAGTTCGACACCCTTTGGCCAAAACTCTTCCACCAAACTAACAGCTATTCAGTCTGTGGGCAGCTGCTGTTCCACTTCGAATATAAAACGAGTAGATAAGCTGCAGCAGGAGCCGAAAGGTACAGTAGGTGACCTAAGCTCAGACACAGCTGGACTGCCAACTGTGGCGGCTGCTCTGATTGTCGGACGTTATCGCCGGGGGTCCAGAGTTCTTCCGATCGATGAAGAGATTAGATCGAGTCACTTTCTTTTTTTTTCCACCATCTGCTCGTAGTCCTCGCTCCAAGTGTCTGCGAGGGATCTTCCACCTCATATGCACAGAAACACGGACCACACACGCACATACGCACATACACACACTGCACAGTCATAGACCAGACAGTGTGAGAGCATTTAATTGCATGGGAATGAAGTCATCCTAATTCCCTACAGGGACAGCCGCAGAGACAAGAGAAAGGGAGTGATTGGCGGTGAGAGTGTGTGTTGTGACAGTAGGAAGTCTGGGAAGAGGTGCTGGGATCAAGCTGCTCCTTAAACACACCCCCGGGCCTGTCAGGAGGCGAGTGATGGAAGCTCAGGCTCAGTGCTGCATGCTGAACGTACTGTAGGTGTGTGTGAGCTGTTGTTAGAGGGAAAAAAAAGGATTTTGGTTAAACACAGCAGATGGAGGGACGTATCTTTAAGCTTTGTGGCAGATCATCAGCTGCTTGGGTCACTTGTAACTCACCCTTTCTTCCTATTTTTCTTTAGCACAAAAAGTCATCCTGTTTCAAAGATGACCTAGCTCACAACTGAGACGTCCATCCCTTCATGGTCTTTGATCAATAAGGCTAATCATGTAAGAAAACGGCAGACAAGCGGGTGTGTAAGCTCTGAGGAGGGATTACACAGGGTAAATGGATCTCATGGAAAAGGTGCGAGGGGCCTCAGGTAATCAATAGGACTTGAGGCAATTAGAACAAGGTGAATCTTCAGACGGAGACAGTTTCAGACTCCCATTCTCCAATTCTTTCGGGGCTCCATTAAGGTTCTGCTTAAGATCTCTGCAAGAAAGGGCTCACCGGGACTCGTGATGCTTTTCAGCACCAGTAAAGGCAACAAGTAAACTTTGAGCTGAGAGGCTTTGTGTACCCTCCATCAGAAAAACACTCTAGCTTCCTCTGGATGCCCGTCAGCTGCACAAGTCAATTTCCCTGTTAAGTGCTTAGCATTTGGTCTGAATGAAAGTTCAAGTGCATGCTAATAGCTTCCACAGGTGTTATTATGATGGCACTACTCTGGATCATTCCGAGTCATCACTGATGATGAAGGTGTCAGAGCTTCCCTGCAGTGTTTAACAATTTATAGATGAATTAAAGCATCATTTAATTTCTAGCTTTGAAACATATATAGAGATTTCTTTAGCTCTTAGCATTACTTTCTTAACAGTGACAATTTACTGGAATGGACTTGAAAGGATGAGATTCATACATTTTTAGACATATTACTGTATAGTTGTGTTTTAGCTTTATAATAAGGCTGTATTCATTCATTCTTATATAGCGCCAATTCACAACACGTACTCTCAAGGTACTTTACAATTTAACCAGATCATACAAACAAATGAATTCAAAGCTTTCTATCCAAGGAAAACCAATTGATTGCATCGACTAACATTAAGCATGCTTGTAGTGACAGTGGAGAGGAAAAACTCCTTTTTAACAGGAAGAAAACCTCCAGCAGAACCAGGCTCAGTGTGAGCGGCCATCTGCTGAGGCCGACGGGGGTTCAAGGAGATAAAAGCAGACATACAGAAAGAAGCAGGGATACAAAAGGCAACTGTAAACCAGCTCCACTGGCGGCCCAGTCCAGGAAACAC